TCTGACCTCCATGGGCATTGCAGGACGTGGGTGCACTTACATACCTGCAGACAATACACTTATACACACAAAAATTAAAATTTAATAAATAAAATATTAAAAATATATAAAAGAAAAATGATGAAAAACCTCTTGATGCTTGGGAATGGGAAAGGTTCAGCCTCAAGGCCTGGGTGCCCAGAACCATAGTGGAGTCAAGACCAAAGCTAGCTATCAAGGGAGTTGGGAGGTCCATTCCTGAGACTCAGTCCTCACAAGACTAGAATCTTCAAATAACAGAAACCTCCCCTGTTCCCAGCATAAGTCCAACACAGAGGCAAAGCCACTGCCATGCACAGCCTGGGACCTTGGCAGATGGGGTTATGGTGAGTGCAGCCACTCAGAGAAGGCTGAAACTGCTGCCCAACGTCAGGGAGTCTTCCATCCTCTAATCTGTTCCACCATCAGCCCACTACCAGCTCATGGTTTGGGACGCCAGCTCCAGCTCACAGGAGGGGACCACAGTTCCAGACCCACTGAGACATCTCGATGGTCCTATTTTAATGTTCAATATTAACTTTAGCCATAATAAAAACTGAATATGGGTTAACCATTTTCTGTGTGAATGGCAGTGTTAAAATAGAAAGATATTTTCAGAAAAACTTAATAGTACGTCTTCCTCAGCTGAATAGGCTCTGAAAGTGCTGGATGAGTAGATGAGAGATAAGGCTCTCTGAAACAGGATTCCAGGCAGGGCAGGGGATTCAGTTTCAAGTTGGAGCTGCTTGATCTAGAAGCTATCACACAGGTTAGCGTCGCCACCTAGTGGATAATATTCAGTAATGCACTCTGGAAATGAGAAACGACCAGAACATTTCACTGGGCTGCAAATGACCTTATAAATCCCTAACAACAGAAAGAGTACAGTACAATTTTCATTGTGCAAACTTACTACAGAAATACACGGACCATAATTCTTTGCTGTCTGATTTTTAAAACAATTCTTTTTTAAAAAACAGATTTTATTTTTAACCACATGTATATGTGTATGTTTGTGTTATGTTCATGTGAGTGCAGGTGCTCACCAAGTCCAGAAAAGGGCATTGGCTCTCTTAGAGCTGGAGATACAGGTGGTTGTGAGCCATTCTGATTTGGATGCTGGGAATTGGATGCTGGTCCCTTGCAAGATCAGTACACACTCTTAACCGAGTCATCTCTCTAGTCCCCTAAAAACATTCCTTAGATGAAAAGTTTCCCTAAAAAATTCCAAGTATTTGGTGAGATCCGAATGTGCTGTCCAGCTTCCTCAAGTGCACACACATTATCTGTCATTTCCAATGCTGTCCCTCTGGTTCTTTATCCTTTTGCTTTCCTTTTCCCTTCATTGTAAATGCTCTGGTAACTACTTCACCCATGGACCAAACTCTCTTTGCAATTGTAGGCAGATCTTAATTATGCAAGAACAGAGTTTTCTATTGTCTTCAGATTTTATAATTAAAAAAATATAGGACATCAATGCCTTTTTGTGAAATGAGTTGAAACTGGAGTCTGTTCTTATTTGGTTGTTCAGACATTGAACTGTGCATGTCTGTGAAATTGGAAACACATATCAGCATTGTAAAAACAAACTTGACACTTCAATGATCCTGAAAGCCATGTCCTGCCACCAGTCAAGGAATTCATTTTTTATAAAAATTAAAACACCATATTATCAATGTTATAATTATTAATTAAATTATAATTATATTTAAAGAATATATTTTACTTTTAAAAATCTTAATG